TGAGGCTGGCTCCCAGGACAGGCAAGGAGGGAGTTGAGAGGGAAGCTGCTACCAGTGGCAAAGAACAGCACTGTCGAAGGCCCAAGAGCCCCAGCATCGTGCTGGAGAGGTGGCACCACATCACTGAAGATGAGGGTGTGTCTCGAGTGGCAGGTGGTCTGGCAGGAGGGAGGTGCACAGGTGGGGTCTGCGACTCTGAGACATGCAGCAAGCACGGGGTGTCCAGCTCCCTCAGTAACAGAGTAGCAGAGGACGGCAGGCCAGGGAGGAGGCGACACACAGTTACTCCAGGACAATTAATCTATGGCAGTTAGTTCACTTTCCTATTCATCTGCAAACACTCGCTAAGTATCTTTTTGGTGCCAGATATAACACTCGTGAATGAGGCTACAGACACAAACAGTCGGAGTTCGCAGATGGCTGCAGACACTCTTGACAATTCGCTTGTTGAGTGACTCGGTGGATGTAGGTGCACAGTACTGTGGGACCCAGAGGGCAAGCAAGGCTCTGCACCGGGAAGCACAGAAGCATCGAGGAGAAGGCACTGAGGTAGGGATGGAGAAAGGCTTTGAAGCCTCCTTGGAGCTCTGTTTTGTGAGTTCTGGGCCTCCAAGGCAGAAGCCGGAAACTCACTGTTGCCACCTCCATTGCAGTTAGAACAGGCACGGGCTCCTCCAATCAGACACACCTGCTCCAGAGGCCCGTCTGGAGAATTCGGAGAGGTGTGACAAGGCATACTCAAGAGCAGGGTGACAGAAGTCCCTGGACTCAGTAGCCAGCGTGGGGGCAGGGATCCTGAGCACTCATGCCAAGCTGCAAAAGCTGGGGGCTTGTGGGCAGCCCCCCATTCCCATTGTGCAGTTTAGAAATTCTCAGAAATTCCAAAAACTATGTACTATCCCTAGATAAACTCCTTTTCATCTTAAACTAACTAAAATAGGTTCTGTTCACTGCAACTGTTGTTTGAAATGCTGACACCACCATGTGCATTACAAACAGAATGATTTCCACTAAAGGACTAGGAATAAAATCAGTGCCTTCGAAACCAATTGATGGGTGGGGAGATGTGATGTATCAATCTAAAGAAGTCAGGAAATGATCATGAAAAAAAAAAGAATTAGCAAGGAAAAAGCATTAAAAAAATGAAATGATGGTAATTAGTTCAAGTCGATAAGTCATTACAATAAATGTAAACATGTTAAACTATTTTCTTAAAAAACAAAGATTATCTGCTTTGAATTTTAAAAATCGACTTGCATTCTGCTTAAAAATGCAGTTGGAAAAAGGATTTTTAAAAAAAACAATAAATAAATAAAGGACTGGAAAAAGATAAACCTGGCAGAGGCTCAGAGCAGAGATGGAGACCTCGTGCAAGGTAAAAGAAATCAGCCACTGTGAAGTTACTAGATAATGAACCTTTAACATCTAATACAATCACAAAGTAAACGATGCAAAAACGTGCTGAAGTGCAAGGAGGAACAAACTAATTAAAAAAGTTATCTGCTATATCAAAACAGATAGATTGAAAAGAGATAAGTGAATCTAGAGAGGATAACAACACAATGACATGCTTATGTATGTTAATTATGAGCATTCTATATGTATGTTAACTGCTCACATATACTGAGAACATTTGAACATTTTATCTTCTTTGCCGCAGGATTTCCTTTTTGCTTATTTTGTAAGGAACAAAATATTATAAACAAATGTGAGGCTCCTTTCCTCCCTCAGGAACCAGGACTGTTTTCATCCTTCCCTCTCCTCAGGGAGCTGCCTTCATGAATTTGAATCATAACCACCTACACATCGGCCCCCTGTGGGAGGAGCTAGGGCAGGATCCTGGCTCCTGTGGATCAGCAGAGACAGAAGCCAAGCACGGAGTGACCAAAGCAGCCAGTGGGCAGAAGCTGACACCCAGCTTTTTAGGCAGCAGCTGGAGAAAAACAGCCACATGGTAAGTCAGATGGTATTTCAGGGATTTCTAATCACGAAATCCTATAGACCACCTGCAACGGAAACCAGGCTCTCGAAGAAGAAACAGCTGTACTCCCATTTTCACTGTAGCATTATTCAGAATAGCCAAGATACGGGAAAAACTTGCATGTCCACTGATGGACATGTGGATAAAGAAAATGTGGTACGTGAATATACATGCAATGAAAGGTGATTCGGGCTTAAAAGGGCAGAAAATCCTGCTATTTGTGACAACATGGATGAACGCAGAGGGCATTATGCTATGTGAGATAAGCGAGTCACAGAAGGAGCAATACCGCCTGATTCCATCGTGTGCAGAATCTAAAATCGTCACGCTCGTGGAAGCAGAGAGTAAAATGGTGGCTGTCGAGGGTGGAGGGAGGGGGATGGGCAGAGGCTGCTCAATGGGTCAAGTTTCAGTTATCCCAGCCAGGTACGTTCCAGAGACCGTGGTATGACACAGTGCCTAGCGTTAATATGGTATTATGCACTTCGAAGTGTATTAAGAAGGCAAACGGGTGTTAAGTTTACCATGAAGCACACATACATACACATAAGCACATGTATGGAGATGATGCACACGTTCGGTACCTCGACTGTGGTGACAGTATCACAGGTATACACATATGTCCAAATTCATGAAAACTTACACATTCAATAGGTGCAGATTTTTGTCAGTGACTTCAATACAGCTTTAAAAAAAAGTGGTAAAAAGACACTCAAAGGAAAGGAGGGGAGAAGGGAGTGAGGGAAAGTGGAGAGACCTCGATGCCCACCCATTTTGCAGATCCCTGCTCCAGGGAAGGGCCACGCGTCCCCTTCCCACCCAAGGACTGTGACCGTCACTGTGTGCCACTTCCAGCCTAAGGCAGCAAACCCCAGTGGCTCCCCATGTCCCTCCTGTGATGTGGCCACTGCAGATGCCTCATGCTGGCATGGCACAGTCACTCAGGGGAGATGCATGGGCTCTGAAGAGCTGCGTGTCCACCTCTGCACCCTGTGGCTGCTGTGGTCAAGTTGTACGTGGCTTCCACGTACAACTGTGGACACACAGGAGCCAGCATCCTACCCTCAGCACCCTCACAGCGGCCACTGCAGAGACAGGTGGTACCCACACTCATGAGGGCAGAGATGGTCCTGAGGCTCCAGGAGAAGAACAGACAGATGCCTGTTTATCTGCAATGTTGTATTTCTTAATAAAACAAACAAGAAATTCCAAGGCAAAGAGGATAAAATGTTGATACCTTCTCACTTCGTGTGGTGAACACATGGATATTTGTCTTACTATTGTCTCTGATTCCATTTTTTTAAGGTAAATTTTAAGTAGTCACTAAAATTTATGGAACAAAACTGTGAAAGTGTCCTATTCTTAGAAAAAGGAACAACCTAAATCACCAATGTTAGGGCTCTTCAAATTCAGTCCAGAAAGGATCTGGGTCCAAACCTCAGAGCTCCCCAGAAGGTGGGGTTGAGCTGTGAGCGCGGGGCCAGAAGCAAGCACTGATGGAGGCTGTGCGGGGTCCTGTGCTCGGGCCGCGTCTGTGGCCTCGCTGGCTGGGACAGTGCGGACTCTCTGCAAACTGTGTTTCCCTGGAGAACAGGATGAACGCACAAGCCGCAGCTGAGGACGGGTAAGGGCAGCCCTGTCAGAAGGCGTCCGCCTGCCTGGGGCGCTGGGAGAGGTGGAGCCGGCTGGGCCACAGCTGGGACATTTGACCACAGCCGCAAGACTTCTCCAATGTGGAACTTCACCAAAAAGTAACAACAGCCACCGAGTTAGTTCAGGATTACCACACCCAGACCTTGGAAGGAGAACAACAGCCAGGCAACTAGAGGGCCAACCTAGGCAGAAACTAAATTCTAGGCTGCAAGCGAGAGGGAGGCAGGTTCCCAGGTCTGCCTACGGTCAGTGCTGCACGAGCCCGGCCTGCTCTTTTCCCCACACAGCCAGGCCTGCTGCTCCAGTCCGGGGGTGCCCTTGTTCAGAATACGATACAGGGTGGTAGGATGTCTTGGGATCCCACAGGCTGTTCCCTGCGGGGAGCGGGGAGGCCCTCAGAGTCAGAAGAACAGAGGGCTCTCCCCTGTCCTGTGTCCTGCCATGGGGAGTGCTCACCATGCTTCTGGCCTGTTCCCTGCACACCTGGGACGACCTCAGGAGTTTGTGAGAGGACCCCAGCGACTTGTGTGCAAGCCCCTAGGCCTACCTTTACTTTGCCACACCCAGGTTCCCAGTTCCTGCCTGGAACCAAGCAATCGATGCCGGCAGAAGCCACAACAGAAACAGGCTCATCTGTCCAACTAAAGGTCTACGACGTGCCCTTCCAGGCCCAGCTGGGGCTCAAGACCACACAGAGAACGAGAGATCTTGCCCAGGCCAAGCACTAGGAGACACACGGGCTGCTTAGAATAGCTTCTGCATCCGGAGCAAATGAAGATGGAAGTCTCTGTCTTTTGATGTCTCACAATTTTCAAAGGAAGGAAGGAAGGGAGGGAGGGAGGGAGGGAGGGAGGGAGGGAGGGAAGGAGGGAGGGAGGGAGGGAGGGAAGGAGGGAGGGAGGGAGGGAGGGAGGGAGGGAAGGAAGGGAGGGAGGGAGGGAGGGAGGGAGGGAGGGAGGGAGGGAGGGAAGGAGAGAAAGAAAGAAAAGAAAAGAAAAGAAAAGAAAAGAAAAGAAAAGAAAAGAAAAGAAAAGAAAAGAGAAAAGAAAAGAAGGCAGACAAGCAGACAAGACAAGACAGCGTTTTCTGGGAGGGGTGGCAGCTCTCAGTGGCGTTGACCCCAAGACCACCAGTCACCCCAGGACGTGCCGTCCACAGCGGCTGCAGAGCCTCGGCTCCCCGCCTGCAGTCTGGGCTCTCGGCGCTCCCCGCCCAGCTGCCCCGGGCTCTGCTCACTTTTGTCCTCTACACCTGTGAGTGCAGCAAAGGAGGAGGCTTCATCCTCTGCTGCCTTAGGGAGGGAGGGTGAGCCCCAGGCTATGTCCAGGCTGAAGCTGAGCCCTCAACATGGAGACATGCAACTCACCATGGTAGCGGTGAATGGGATGTTGTCAATCAGGGACGACGCCAGGGCTGAGACCCACACCACCAGGACGATGGCGGCCGTGAGGCGCTGCTCCTCTGGAACCATCTGGAAGGAGGACAAGAGCAGCTGCAGTGTTCCATCACATGCACTCAGGGTCAGATCCCACCAGCCGGGAGACTCAGAGGGGCCCCAGGGTGTCAGTCCTTCTTCTTACCCATCACAAGACCAAGGCAGACACAGGTGTGCAAGCCAGGGCCCCACCCACACCGGGAGCCTCCGCTGGGTTTCTACCAGCAACACCCAGCCATGCCCAGGCCTGCCAGCCCCTGGATGGGGAGGCAGAGTGACCCTGCCCCTCGTCCACGTGTGGTGGCTGCGCACACTGGTCACACTGACCCGATGGCCTGGCAGACCACTGAGGCTGGGGTGCCTGCAGCACTCACTTACTGAGGCTGGCGTCGATCCCGCTCCTTCTCAGACAGGCTTTAAATAAAGTTAAAAGCAAAATAGCAAGCATCTGTAATTATATATTCTTTGGAAAAAGTCTCCCTTCATCTCTGGGCTGCACAGGATAGAACAGGTTCCCTGCTGTGCCTTTTTACATAATTAATGTGACCTGTTCTTACCAGAATTTTTTTTTCCCACAAAATCAAAGAGCAGTGGGTGGAGTGCCTTCTATTATAGCATTTATTTTACCTTTATTAGCAAAGCAGTTTGTTCTCCAACATATTCTATTAAGTGGAGATGTGCCAACGCCTAGAAGAAAGGATGTGTGATGAGAATCAGTATAAAACAGAAAATATATGCAAGATTAAAAAAAAAGTCTTGAAAAGACGTGAACATAAGGTAGGCCCAGACTCCTGCTTCTTATAAAAGATCAGACTCAAATACACAGTCTATAAATAATTTACTATCATATATGCACAATGAAGAGTCACGGAGAAAAAGTCCAACAACAATGGCAGAAATCCCTCACTGATTTGAGTTAATGTCCATGTTAAATTTAAATCCGAACGGAAGACTCTCTTTAAGACCTGTGTGAAGATACCGTTCAATTGCACATAATGAAATACCATTCCGTACAGGTCTTTCAAGTAAGTGGCATTTCCAATTTCTTTTTAAAGTTAAACATCACAGAGTTTTAAAAGAATTTTTTAATGCAGTTTTTATAATCTTCAAAGAAAAGAAGGAAAAGTCTATTTAACTGGCACATGTAACTATTTCCACAGTACTAGGCAGATTCAGAAACCTGGACCCAGGGAAAGGCCGGGAAGAGCAGAAGAGAGAAGATGAGGCACAGGAGCCTTCTGCCCAGGCTGCCAAGGTCCCGCGCAGGGACGCCCAGAGGCTGGCGACCGAGCCACCGTGGGAGGTCAGCGGAAGGCAACAGGTACCGGTGGCTCAGCTGCCCAGCAGCTCTGTGGGTGTGGCCTTTTCACTGTGATTCGATCATGCTGAAAGACTGCAAATATTGGAAACAGCAGCTTGTCTGTGTTTTTTTTATTTTTTTAATTTTTTTGTTTTTGTTTTTGAGACAGTTTTGCTCTATTGCTCAGGCTGGAGTGCAGTGGCGTGATCTCGGTTCACTGCAACCTCCACCTTCTGGGTTCAAGCGATTCTCCTGCCTCGGCCTCCCGAGTAGCTGGGATTACAGGTGCCCATCACCACACCTGGCTTATTTTTATATTTTTAGTAGAGATGGGGTTTTGCCATGTTGGCCAGGCTGGTCTTGAACTCCTGACCTCAGGTGATCTGCCTGCCTCGGCCTCCCAAAGTACTGAGATGACAGGCGTGAGCCACTGTGCCCGGCCAGCTTGTCCTTGTTTAAAGTAAGCTTAAGAATCTCAATCTGCATGTAAGTTGGTAGCTGACCTTCATTTAAAAGCCATGGAGCCCAAATGTTGGGTCTTCAATCACAATTCTCCATCAAGTTTGCTTTTATACCAACTAAGTCATAAGGAGAATCACTTCAGAGCAGGGTTTCTCACCCTGGCCCTGCTAATTTAGAGCCAGATCATTCTCTGCTCTGGGGCTGGCCCGTGCATTGTAAGACGCTGCACAGCAGCCCTGGCCTGGCCACACTCGATGCCAGTGGCACCTCACCACCACCAGCGTGACGGCCAAAGACATCTCCAGACACAGCCACTGTCCTCTCTCTGGGGGAGTAAAACCACCCCGTTAAGAACCAATGTTCCCTGGGGGGTAAAATCACCCACTGTTAAAGAATGAAAAATGTAGCATAATCCAAATTTTATTAAATGAAACTTTAAAACTGAAAAAATGTTGAATGTAGCTATACCTTTTGCTTTGTTTGACATCATCAGTTGAAAGAAAAATCAGAGGCCTAAACCAGATTAAAATGTTCTGCCAAATGCCAAATAGGGATGGTTCTATGTGTATATGCCTCACACACACACAGAGTATGGTGTGCACAACTTGATGTGTACCTATAGACATTTATATTTACATATTTAGTGTCATATAATTATCCTAAATATCATGGTCCGAGTTATGTAGTGTAAGAAGACAAAATAAAGTAAAATCTTCAAAAAACTTGAATATTGCACCTAATAACTCAGCTCAAAATAACTGATCTCTTAATTTTTTTTAAAAAAAGTCAAAATATGAAGAAACTACAAATACACTCTTTTACAAAATGAAGTAATTATCTAGCACATCCCTGTCTATCAAGCCTAACACTGTAGGTATACAATGTATATTTTACAGTATGCAAAGTTTACGTACAGTTGAAGATTATACCCATTACTTGTCTCCTTCATCAGCTTATACAGTGAAAAGATGATCGTGTAGTATAAGTCAGGATGTGAAACATCATTAGTCTGTCACAGAAATGCTGATTCAGCAATGACCTGACATCCTTGTCCCACTGAAATAAGCCAATACCATAAATCATTGCTACCACTTCTTTCAAAATGATAAACTAGGAGGTCTAAGAGTCCCTTCTTCAGCCAAACAAATGGATCCTAGATAAAACACACTTTTAACACGTTCCAGATTAGCAAGACAATGTATGGCTTTCCAAGGAATCTCTCCCCATGAAAATGTTTCCTGCAGCTGTCTAAGAGCTGCAAGACTTGAGTGGCACAGGGTGGAACTGCCTTGAAGCTCGAGGCTGATCATGCCCTGAAGTCAGAGGAGGTGTGAATGCTTGTGAGGTTGTAGGCTCCACTAAGATTTCTCATACTGAGCTAAGATCCTTGAAATGCACCAAAATTATTCCCTGGCATCCAGCAGAGGCAGACACAGCAGTTTCTGGAGGAAAGCATCCCGCCTGCAGGCCCTCAGGAATCCCACAGAACAAGATGAAATAATGAGATTATAGTCTTGGATCTCCAGGGACACAGAAGACAATGAGAGCAGAAACAACCAAAACAGATTTAGCCAGACCCCACAACTGCATGGATGAGAATTCATAGATACTGAATATAGAAGAGGAACTTTGCTTAAAGAAATTAGGGGTTGAAGAGTGTAAAAGTACCAATTAACATGGGCCCTCGATGAGTTAAGAATGAAGGCCGTCATCTCCAGATGACATTAAACCACCAAAAACACTAAAAGAGTGAGTATATAACTGCCAAGAAAGGGGAAATAGAATTTTAAATAATTCTCAATCAAATTAAATAGTCAAAAATTGGCTAATCAAGAAAACTAAGGTAATAAATCATAATAGAAATTTAAAATAATTTTGAATAAATAAAATGTAAATATAATCAAAATGCACACGAAAACTTGAGGGATGCAGCTAAAAGGAAATTTATAGTCAAATATACACAATGGGAAATACGAAGCATGAATATCAAAAGCTAAGTATCCATCTTTGTAAGTTAAGAAAATAACAACAAATTGAACCCAAAGAAGTGAAGAGAAAATGACAATTTTAAGTAGAAAATGGGAAAGAGAGAGAGTCACCAAAAACAACAATGAAAAAAGAGATCATCACTATAAAGATACTACAATAAACAGATAATGGAGTAAAATTACAAATCAACTCTAGCATTATTTTTGCTTTTATACAGATATCCAGTTGATTCAGCACCATTTGTTGAAAAAATGTTTTCTTTCCTAAATGAATTGCTTTGCCACTATGGTTTAAAATCAGTTGTATATTTAAAAAACACATAACACATACACAGAGTCTATTTCTGTACTCTCTATTCTGTTCCATTAATCTATGTCTATCTTTTGCCAGTACCACAGTCTTGATTACTATAGCTTTGTAGTAAGTCAAGAAATCAGGTAAGTGCTCCAAAAGTTGTCCTTTTGGGGAAAAAAATGCTTTAGTTATTTGAATTTAGTCCCTTGAATGTCTACACAAATTATATAATTAGCTTGTCATTCTCTGCAGAAAAACCTAGTTCAATTTTTATTAGAATTGTGCTTAAATCTGTAAGTCAATGTGGGAAGAACTGCACACTAAACAACACTGAGTCTTCGGATCTATGGACAGACTGTATCTCTTCATTAGGTCTTTAGATCTTTCACAAAAATTTCTTTTCAAAATATCTCAGTAATTTTTGTTATAGGAATCTTGAGCATACTTTTTTTTTAAGATTTATTCCTAGGTTTTTAAGGCTTTTAGTATCATTATAAATGCAATTGTTCCTTAAATATTTTCCAATTATGTGACACTAGTATATGATAATATATTGATTTTTGATACTGATCTTGTATCTTCTGACCTTGCTAAATTTATATATTAGCTCTGGTAGTACTGGATTTTTTGTAGACTACCTGAGATTTTCTACATAAACAATCACATAGCCTGTAAACAAGAACAGTTTTACTTCTCTCATTTTCATTTTTCTGCCATTTATTTCTTTATATTGTCATGTTACAAGAAGTAGGTTCTTCAGTACATTGTCTGTTGTATGGAAAAGGTGACTGCCTTGCTGCCAATCTCATGGAAAAACAATTAAGTTTTTCACCATGAAGTATAAGGTTGGCTCCAGGTTTTTCAAAAACGCCTGTCATCAATTTGAGAATTCACGGTTTGCTCCCAAATGCTCTTTCTGCATCTATTGAAATGATCATATGGTTTTTCTCCCACATTCTGTTAATATGGAAAATTATACTAATTATTGAATGTTAAATCAACCTTGGATTTCTGGAATAAACGTTTTTTGATTATGCTGTACTATTTTATACACCATAGCATTTGATTTGATATCTTGCTTGATCTATGTGAGTGGGAGACGTTGATCTGTAATTTTCTTTTCACATAATACCTTTGTCTTAATACCAGGGTAATACTAGACCTACAAAGTAAGTGGGGAACTGTCCCCCACCTCCATTATTTTCTGAAAGAGATTTATAGGGTTGGTATTATTTCTTACTCAACGTTCAAGAAGATTAAACAGGGAAGCCATTTGTGTTTGGACTTTTCCTTGTGTAAATAATTTTAATTACTAATTCAGCTGCTTTATTGATATAATTCTATTCAGATTTTCTATTAAAACGTGAGTCCATTTTGGTAAGTTGTAGTTTTTAAGGAACTATTCCATTTCATGTAAGTTGTTGAATTTGTTGGTATAAATTTGTTAACATTATCTTATTGTTTTTTAATCCCTGTAGGGTTTGTGTTGGTCACCTCTCATTTCTTGACGATACTAGTGATGTGTGTTCAATTGTTTCTTTTCAAAGAACCAGCTTTTTGGTTTAGTGGGTTTTTTTTTTTTTCTGCATTGTCTGTTTCCTACTTTGTTGATTCTGATCTTATCGTTATTAGTTTCTTCTTC